GTACCTGAACACACCTCTATCTGCGAATTGTATGCCAGAACTCTCCGTGACACGGGCTTTGTTGTTACCCCCGGTCTCGGGCCGATGTAAGCCCGCCGAACCTCTCTTCGCGGCCACGCTCCTCGGCTGATCCTATTACCCTGGCCGTAGACACGATTTGAAGAAAAGTGCAGGGACTGAGAGCTCGCCGCAGTATTTCTCTGCAACATATACCAGCTCTAGTATCCTGGAAACGCTTTTCTCTCTTTTGTCACGCAGGTGAAAAAGCCAAGACTGAGATGCCGATCGCCGCAATGGCGGACATTTCGGAAATCTCTATCTTCCAATCACATAGCAGATATGGCTGTGGCTGGCTTAAGGCGAGCTGGCAAATCCTTGTCCTTCAGCCGTGCCAGCTCATTAAGATACTGTGCCTTGAAAGAAAGAACACGCTTAGGTTTTCCACCACAATTAGTCTTTAACACTTGATCATGCATGCCAGCGGAGCTGTTTTTTGTCGCCGGTCGAAGGGGGGTAGAGCTGATCTCTTCGAGTTACATGCACGGCTCGGACTTACTTAAGATATCAGTCCCACATTTTCTTATGACTATTTATAGGATACCCCGCTTTTGCCTTCACATCTTCTGGCCTGTTTGAAACGTCCCGTGGAATACCTTGTGAAACTGCACAAGCTTCGTTGATAAATCTGGACGACATCATCTAGGGCCAATATATATTTATTATACATACTTGGGAGATGTCCTCAACACATGAACAAGGTTCAAATATGGTTGTTCCCTCTTTTACTTACTCACCACTTCCACAGAAGTCATACACACGAATGATTCGCCTTTTGCCAGACAAGGATGAAGATGCCTTGATCCAATGCGAGCTTTTCAACTACCATTTATCACAACCAGGTGAGGTGCATCTTTATGAGGCGCTGTCCTATGTTTGGGGAAGTTCAATCAGATCTCGTTCAATCATCCTCGATGGCTATATGCTCCCTGTTACTGAAAGTCTTCACACCGCATTGTTGCATCTCCGAAGCAAGCAGCTGGAAAGAATACTATGGATTGATGCGATAAGCATAAATCAGGATGATGACGGTGAGAAGAGCAAGCAGATCCCGCGCATGCGGATGATCTATGCACAAGCCAGACGTGTTGTTGTCTGGCTGGGGGAGAGTCAGGAATACGGGGATAGAGCACTTTTTCAACTTGGTCTTCTCGGCAGACAGAAGAAGATTTCAGTGCGAGTAGGAGGAAAAGTCCGTGAGGAATGTGAGAAGTTGTTACAACGAGACTGGTTTCGCCGTATCTGGGTAGGTTAATCCTATCGAATAAAAGTGAGGGTGCTAATAACCCGTCTTAGGTGCTGCAAGAAGTGGGGGTCGCTCAATCTATTTCTATCATGTGTGGTACTGTTCAGATCAACGGTTATAATTTTTGTAAGGGCCTAGATAATCTGGAGCCTTCTTCCACACTCATGGCCAGAATAAGCCCGGTCTCTTTTCTTATCCGAGGTGCATCTTTCCGGTCTTATAACGATTGCCATTCCACTGCTACACTTTTGATTGGTGAACTTGTTAGTATGTACCGGAGTCACAAGGCAACTAAACAGCACGACAAGATCTATGCATTGCTGGGCTTAAGTTCAGACTCGGATAGTGCTGCCTTGGTCCCAGATTATGAGATTCCATGGCATGAGGTCTTCAGGCGAGTCACACAACATGTTTTTCCGAAATGTTTTGTGGAGATATGTTATGGGTCAGAAACAGCTATTATCAAAGGTAAAGGATGGATTTTGGGTTATATCTATTCAACCAGCGACTCTCTACATGACAGTCAACAAACTTTCAAAGTTGCTTTCAATCAAACTTGCCAGAAGCTGGGATATCGTGATAAGTGGAAGGCTGAATGGAGTTTACAAGCTTCTGGAGAGTTACTTCAAGATGGTGATATTATCTGTCTTCTTGAAGGCCTGTCACAGCCAAGTGTACTCAGATTATGTGCTGATTACTACACGGTGGTAACACCTGTGGTGAGACCTAAGCAACAGGTACAGATTACCGAGGATGATGTGACGGTCCGTGAAAACTGTTCTGCGCATGGTCTGTGTGATATTTTCATGGACTGGAAGGTATCCGAGCCGGAACATGAGACTGATGGGGAATGCCTATCAAAGCTTACTGAGATTACACCAAAGTATTCTAAAGAACATTGTGAAGCTGAGCGAAGACTGAACTATACAACGACTGCTATGGTAGATGCTGCCATGCAGTTATTGAAACTGGGAGAAACTGGGAAAAGAGCATTGGATAATATACTGTTCAAGGGCAGGATAAAAGGCGTGGATACTAATTTTCTTCTCTCGCAAAGTGACGGCATAGTCTCCGGGGATTTGATAACTGCAGCTGAGGCAGTTCTGTGGCAAAAGCATGAGTCCCCCTATGCCTGGCAGAAGGTGCTCACAGTTGCAGCACGGGATCCTCGACCCTGCGGAATTATTGTTACAAGCATTCTCCTGCAGCGTCTACAGGACAAGCTACCAGTTCCTGAAGAGGTGGTCAAGGCGGCGGCAGCGAATGAG